TGAACTTTAATAGGTATGGAATTCCAATCACTCACTGTGTTAAATATTGTGTGAACGATGAAGATAGTCACTATCATCATCAGGGGATTATACCAGCTGTTCGGAATTACGAATATGTCGACGGGTGGGCTTTGCCATGGGCACGGCGGCTAGTTCCTTTCCTCAACACACTGTTCAGGGAAAAAAATTGTACTTGTGAGTGTTTGTTCTGGCAAAAATCAGCGCCAGCAAATGTTCATGGCTGTGTCTGGTTTTCCTTGTAGTGGGTCTGCAAACCGAAGAGGGCAATGCCCTACTATTTTTTACTGCATAAGTATTGTGTAGTAGTACAAAACAATTAAAATTCCTGCTCCTTTTTTATGTCTGTATTCAGTTTTGCGACATCATTGATGACGGAAAATCATGCCTGGCATAATTACCGTATAAAAATCTCCAAGATTTTCTCTGAACTCGCTCATGTTTCAGGCCTTTCAGATCTCAAGTGTTTGAAGAGAACATGCTAGGTTTGAAATGACTTTTGTCTTTTTTTTGTCAGAAAGCCCTTCGATGACTGCACATTTTACATCCTGAAATAGGAGCACGCAGCTGCATAACCAACTTAAGCTGCAGGTAACTCTTTTTCATCTGATTTGATGAAACTGCAGAACGATGGTATATGGGAATACGGTCGCCGGGAAAAGAGCAGTGAGTGTGCTGAATTATCATAGCGCGTAGTAGGGTACATGAGCCGTTCCCTGATGCCTGTTGAAATAGCGCACGCTAGCACTCGCGACAATGCGCACTTCGAATCAAAGTTAACAGGTGCGGATCAAGCCACGCAGCTTTCTACCTGACTACCTATTTATACTTCCTTGTTTAGCAAAAGACAGACAGCGCTTGCTCGGCATTTGAGGAGCAATCGACGGCAGGCATCACACGTGTAGGGATATTATCGCATGCCCACTTCGTGCAATGGAGATTGGCAGCTTCTTTTAACTATGCTTCAGAAGTGTTCCTTGCTAGCACTCACGAGATTTTATCTGTGAGAACAGCATAGTGTGTGAATACAAAAGTTATTGGTTTCGACGTATACAGAACATGACAGAAAGAATAAAAGCCTGTAGAGAGTTTCCATGTAATTTTTTCCAAAATGATAAAATATACAAGAACTGTCTAAGCGGGCTGGCCTTTTAATGAACTGCATTGTCTTCGCTATCAAGAATTTACCCGTTGGTTGAATGAAATTATGATGAAACAAGCGCTAAAAATACACACACTCAGAGAGGACACAGACAAGCGCTTGTCTGTGTCCTCTCTTAGTGTGTGTATTTTTAGCGCTTGTTTCATCATGAACCTTTACCAACATTCACAACTAGCAGTCATCCTGAATGAAATTATCCGGAGCCTCTTGGATTTTGTTCTCTATCACACTCTACTACACTCCATGCTGTACAATTCTTACAGCAAATATCTCTCCATTTATGCCTTTATGAATTACTGGGGCAATGTGAGCATTGAGCTTATCAGTATTTCGGGCTTGTGGGCTACACTCTAGTATTTTCACTTGGGCAATCAGAAATTTAAAAATGCAGCGAAATCACAAGTTCATTGCACGTAATAATCATGCACGACGCGAGACAGACTTGGAAAGGGGGGGGGACTATATGGCAAAGGAGGGTAGAAAACAATTTTCAATTGATATTCATCTTATATAGAACCTTTGAGAGTATGTGCCCTAATCAGGTTGCATGAATCATCATTCTGGCATGATGAAGAGTGCCAAAAAACGAGAAATGCCGAGAGAGAATAACACGCTTGATGTTGTATTTTCAAACACTATTGTTAGGGCCCCATATGTAGGCAGGACATGCGAACGCGAACGCAGAAGAGCAGTCAAAACACCACAAACGCCACTCTGAAAAAAAAAAATTTTAAGGCAGCAGAAAGTACTGTGAAGTGATGTATCTTATGCTCCCATTCCCCACTCGGGTTAAAATAAGACAAACAGTGGTGCATCGCAATTATCGTGTGGTGGCAGCATAGTCTCCTCGAAACTTTGGCAATGGCGCGAACGGTGTGAGCAAGAACGGGTGGCGGCGGTGGTGCACAGCTCTATTCAGAAGCAGGGTGTCTGTATTGGCTCTGGTTTGGTACCTATACTAAGTGACATTTTTTTGTGCCACCATAACAAGAATCTGGCTTGTGTCTAGTCGAAATACAGGTTGTCAAATTCATCAGATACCTGAACGATTACTTCATACTGTAGCCGGAAGCACACATATCAGTAGATGAGCTTAAAAATGCTTTTTTTTGCTAATTTTAGCCCAATCACAATAATGGTTGAAGAGCCGTATGATAACAAGCTGCGGTATTTATATAGAGAGCTTGAATTCACGAACAGCATACATTTTGAGTATATAAGTTCACAGCTAATAAGCCCCTGTTGCCATATCAATCCCTCGCTCGGAGTATTACCAATCTTTGTTTTGTAAACATGTTGTAAAAGCCCTGCCACCATAAGATCTATGAAAGTCATTGAATCAGTCACAAAGGTTATCGGCAACAGGTTATCCAGTGTTGGTTTAAGCATTTCTTGTCGAGGGTCTGCAAAAGAGATGCTGCTTGGACAATATTCCTAGGGATGGGGCCATCCAATAGGTGCAAAATAAGAGCAGAGTGGCTGTAGTTCATTATCTGCAGGAAATGGCCCATAGTCTAAAAACAATGGCCAGTGATGTGCACATCAGAGTAGAGTTGTTTTCAGCACCAGATAAACCTGGCAGGATATGTGGCTTAACGAACCATCACCGGAAGCCAGCTGTTGGTTCTTGCAATGAATCATTGCAACTATTTTGTGGATTGTGTACAAGAGGTAGTTTACAAGCTCCCACTGACTTGTGGAATTAAGTACCTGTATAGTTCAGACGGGAAATGCCTTAACAATTATTTACCCAAACATAGCTTAAGTGCTACAAACAAGAATAATTATGGTTACTTGTCTGTAAATTGTCTGGAGCGCACCTGTACACCAACTTCTCTTTTTGAATAAAAGAATTTCCACTTATCCATCAATGTACGGTTCTTGCACTGTTCTGGTAAAGCACTAAGATGAAGATGTGAGAAAGATTATGGACACCCAAGTTATCTCTCGCAATAGTGACACGAATGTGGGTGCCCCATCAATTGACCTCTCACATAGTTGTTAGTGGTTCATGAGGAAAAGGAAGAAGGCACCTAATTTCTGTCTGCCTACAGGCGACACGGCACAGTGCCCCTCTCACATAAGGAGAAAGCATTTTTTGTTTGCTTGTGTATTGTGGCGGTGCTGACACCCCCTGTAAAGTTGTTTGCACTGCGTGGCACACGTGTCTCGCCCAAAAGTCGCATTTTAAGTTGGAATCACCGGGCAGTAGGTGGTGTTGTGTTCGCGAGAGTTGAGCACCACTATCATCATCACCATCATGGTGTAGCGCTGGGGGTGACCACTGGCGGAAAACAAGCCTTGGTGGCAGGCGAGAGTTGAGCGAGTCTCTTTTGCGCGTGGCGGTTGCTGCAAACGGTTGTCTCTAGCGTGGGTCCTCGGCGCGTGGCACCGCGGGCCTGCGCGTCGGGGGCCCTCGTGGTAAGTCAAGCGTTGGCGACACCGCCTTGAGTGTGTTATTGTGTTTGTCGTGTTATTGTGTTTGTCATGGAGTGTATGGTAATAGTGTGTGCAGATGTCCTAGTGTGTTAATTACGATTGATGTATCGATTTGGTGGACGATATCATTGTTATAAATTAGTTAAATAAAAGTATGTGTTTTTTTTTTTTTTTTTTTGTACGGACCGTGTCCACTGTGTCCGTTCACTCCAAAAACGTGGCGTGGTGCTCGCGCGCCTCGTCGAGACACCACAGTATGGACTGGTGATGCCACTGTGCACAGATAAATATTTTGTTGTTTCTTGGATAAAGCACTCTGAAGTTAGTGCATTGTGGTGCGGTCTAGTATACTATATAGTATAGTATATTATATATATATATATATATATATATATATATGAAAATGGGCATATCTGTCATCACCTGATTTCGTCATCATTTTTTGTGCTTGCACTGAATATGTTTCCAAGTTCTAATTACCAACACACCCAAAAAATGGCAATTCTATGTTCTATTTACTCGTGTAATGAACCCACTTGCATAACCAACCCGCCCCCCACGTGGGTCCATGAAAAAAAGAAATCTGCTTATTAATGCATCTGTTCATTTTATTTCAGTTTGATAGGCAGTGCCATAGATGATTGAAGCAACCTTATGATACGTCGAGCCTTTTGCAGCAGAGTGGCATCTGTTTGGAAAAGAAATTTCTTTGCTTGTAGTAGTGCAATGGAACTACAGAGGTGCGAAAACAAAGTGAAATTGCACGGTGCAACGTGCATTTGCAACATGCGTGTGCCGCCATCTGACGCTGTGTTTTTACTGTCGGATTTGTCGTAGTGAACTTTGTTGGACACCTGCTGTGCAAGGCACTTTTGGCCGATTTTGAACTTAAAGTTAGTAGCTAAAGGATGCTCTGGAGCATGGGAACCGACTGGCTGGTTGATACGTCATTGTTGATCAGTGTGTGTTTATTAGTGGAGGAAACAAAAAGAGCTTTGGGCTACAAAAAAATTTATCGTACATTTCATAGAGGAAAACGAGGGTAGTTTCCTCTTGTGGAGAGGGAAGCTTTGAAATAGGTTTGGAAGCTCTGTAGTCCTGCCAATGAATTGAAGGCCAGCAGTGGTCGGAGAGCAAGTTTGATAATATCATCATTCAAAATTTTTGCTGTTATGACTCCCGTGACTTCTTTCCTCCCGTGAAATCAGCCCTCCTCCCAAATCGGTGTCAACTTTTCTGCAAAACGAAACGGTGGGTTCATTAGGTGAGTAAAAACTGTGGCTGTATTTTGATTTGCTGCTATGTAGTTAGCTGGGATCATCTAGTGTTTCCAGCACAGCTGGCATTTGTGGGCCATGACCCCACCCCTGTGTTACTGCAGGCTCTTGGAATTGCCACACAAAAGCTTGCCTCGAGGCCCTGAATCGGGACTTTGGCCGGGCCCTGCCACCGCTCAACTGGACAGCACTGCTGGTTCCTATTCTTCGAGACTGCCCCTCAGGTGACTGACTGCAGCATGTGTCATGCTTTGTGTCATCAGCTCACATTTTTTTAATTCAGTGCAGAAGAGATTGGCATGGAAAAGAGGTGTAATGATAAAGTGGTGAGAAGGCTTGTGCTGGGAGATATTCCTTCACGACAAAAGATGTGTTTCAACTAGGCCTGTGTGAGCAGTAAATTTTAAATTCGTAGTGAATTCAAAGCAAATACTAGTGATTCAAATAGTTTCGAATCACATTTGAATAATATGTATCACAAATTATATAGAAAAATTTGCATAATTTTATAACCAATGTTCCTGTGCAATTTTTTTTTTTTATTGGTACAAGGCAATGTCATTCTTTTTGGTTCTAAAGAAGTGTAAGCAACTTTGAATAAGATTTGACTTTTGGTATAATACGAATGGAAACGTGCTATATTTTCAAATTTACTTCACTTAGAGCATGTAGGCTGGCATAACAAGCTTTTAAACTTGGAAAAAAAAAAGAATTGATATGAGTGTATTATGTTCATTTAAAAACACCGGCCAACAATTTTAACGGTACATATTTTCTTTTGCGCAAGGGTCAGCTTACAGATTGGAATGTTTAATTACAGAGTGGTTTTGTAAAAACACCAAAAGACATTTTTAAACAGAATTTTTCTATTTATGGTGAATATGAAGTTGTGCACGCATGCGACCAGCTGCAAAGATTCAGCATGAGAGCAGTTTGTGTTCCAGTGCAGTAGTGCACTGCACACGCAGGCTACCTACGCACATGCACTGCCACTTGACATGGTCCAGTGGCTTCTCACAATACAACCCCTTTTACCTCATTAGCAGCACAGGATAGAACAGCAGCAGACACTAATATACGTCCTTTAATTTTGAGGACTAATTATGGCATGCATTACAGCATCAGACTACGTAATTACTAGGTATGTGCGGGTAGTGAAAGTCAGATTCAAATTGATATGTGAGGTTTAACGTCCCAAAATCAGCATATGATTATGAGACACGCCTTAGTGAAGGGCTCCCTGAATTTCCACCTTCTGGGGTTCTTTAACGTGCACCCAAATCTGAGCACACGGGCCTACAACATTTTCACCTGCTTCAAAAATGCAGCCGCCGCAGCTGGGATTCGATCCCGCGACTTGAGGGTGCACTCAAGCCTCATTATGAAAAAGTTGCACGTTACATGGCAATCAGTTCATTATATCTGAAAATTCATTATAAAGGTATATTCCTAACACTATATTTACTACAAAACTATTTTTGTTTTTACTGGTATGCCATTATAATCAGGTTCATTATATCAAGGTTTGTGTGTAATAGTTTTAGTAAAATAATCTTGAGTCGAATTCTAATAGTATATATCGTACCTTGTAAAGGAAAATGGACATATCTGTCCTCACCGAACTAACCTGCACAATATTTTGACAGAAATAAAGCATGACCTGTGCAAATGCCCTTTTTTTGGTTCAAAAGAAGTGGGAACAACTTTGAATAGCAGCAGGATTTGACTTTCGATAGAATGTAAGTCAAAACCTGTAAAACATGCTGCATTTATAATTTACTACATTTCGAGCATATAAGCTGGTATAAGCCTTAACGTTAGCATTCTATAACAAGCTCTCAGATTTTAAAAATGATGAATCGATGTGAGGGTAATATGTTAACTTAACCTCGAAGTCGGGCCTCGCAGCAGTGCGAATGTTTTTTGGATAGATGTTTTCATGGCTTATCAGCCCTTTGATATAGTGAAACAACCTTTATAGCGGGCTACATGCGGGTTGATCAACACTTCAATAAGTGGTTTGACGGCTTAGTACCTCTCTACTGTCGTGAAACCAGCTTTACAGCGGGTTACATGTAAGTTGATAAACACTTGATTAAGTGCATTTTATGGCTTATTGCATTTTTACTGCAGTGGAAGCACCTTTAAAGCTGATTACATTGCGGAATAGTATACATCTGTTTGTTTTTTTCGAATCATTCGAACTTTTCTAAATTCATAGAAGCCTACTGACTACCTACAGCAGAGTTATGGACTCCATAATCCAGCTTCAAGACTCTTCTTCTAGGTTGTGCAATGTATGGGTTTTTGTTACTTTAAAACACAACTTAAAAATGTAAATTCTACACGCAACACGAAAAGGAGGCTGGAGTTTTTTGCTATATTTAACAGACATATCTTTGCTATGATGATCTAATTCCATGCTCTGGCCTGTTGTCAGTCTTTTTTACCTTGAAGTAAGGCTTCGTAGCAGTGCAAATTTGCCTTGACATGATGCGTTCATGGTAAAGCACTCCTTTACTGCAGTGAAAATCATTTTACAGGCGGCTTTACGTGGTTAAATAAATCTGTTCGATCATTTCAAGTACTTCAGAATTTCCAATAATATAAATTTGAATTGATGTGAATTCAAGTAAGTTCAAGCAAATATTCTAATGCTTTGAGTATTCATTCGAATATTCAAAGCGTTAAAATATTTGCACGAGCCTAGTCGGAACACACTGTACGTTTGCAGTGCTTGAAGAAAAATTAAGAATGAATTATAGTAATAAGAACATGCAAGCCTGTAACTTAATTTACTGCATAGAAGGTACAGTATTCAGCGGTCAGGTACTAACAGGCGGTGGAGCGCGCATTGCGGCTCATACATTTGAATCCTGCTACAAAAAGAGACGGGGCCCATAAGAAGAGGTGCACATAGGACGCACGTGTGGTGCAACCCTCACAATGTATGAGGCACCTTTCTGATCCTACTTTAAAGTATTGCTTGTTTGTTATGAAAGCTCTGGTATTGCTCAGTTATAAAAGAGCAAGCTCACACGGCTCCCCATGTATGCATTCACGCTCTACAAAAACACAGACAAACGATAGTGCAATTTCGATAGAAAACGACTGTTCACTAACCTACCTGGCCATGTAGGAAGTGTTACAGGCATTGTAGGCCATCTTTGGTCCCTTGACTTGCCCTGACTGCTTTACCTTGTATTTTTCTGAATAGCTTGCATCTTTCAGAAAGATTAAGATTTGTCTTCTCATGGAGGCTGTGGTTTGTGCACATAACATGCAAAGCTTGTGGGGTCTCGACGAGGCGAGCGCCTCGGCATGCTCTTCGAGTGAACGGACACATACATTTATTTAACTAATTTACAACGACGATATTGTCTGCCGAGTGATACATCAGTCGTTATCAACACGCTAAGACATCCTTACACACAATTTCCATACACTCCAAAACATTGCAAACACAAAATAACACACCCAAGGCGGCGTCGCCAACACTTGACTTACCACGTGGGCCCGCCCTGGCGCGCAGACCCGCGGAACCACGCGCCGAGGACCCACGCGCCGAGGACCCACGCTAGACAACCGTTCGCGGTAACCATCACGCGCAGAAGAGACTCGTTCAACTCTCGCCCGCCACCAAGGCCTACCTTCCGCCAGGGGTCACCGCCGGCGCTACCACTCTACCAACAGTGGTACTCAATGCGAACACAACGCCATCTTTCGCCCGGTGGTCGTCACTTAAAATGCGGCCTTGGGGAGAAACACGTGCGCCACACGGCGCAAACAACTTTACAGGGGGTGTCAGCACCCCCACAAGCTGTATTGTTTATTTCTTGCTGACGCATTATCAATTAGTGTTGTGATTGGAATGCTTGCCTGAAAGACACAAGATGTTTGCTCACAAAGCAGCAGCTAGACGCAATCAACCCACGAGATGCAATTTCGAAGACTGTCCCCTGACAGTCAAAATTCGAACAACATACAAAAGTGCTCTGACACCGCACGTCTAGCATTTTATAGGAAAAAACAGGAAAAGCCGCACTTTGGCCTGGTGTTAGATGGCCGCAGGGCCAAAGGGGTCAATGGAGGAGGGCCAGGCTGATGCTCGCATCGGGCATGCAGAGATGAAGCGCCCCACAACTATGCGCAAGGCCAAGCATTGGTATCCCCAACTCCGTTGGTCACAGCCATCGTTAACAATAATTGGGAGTTGCAAACCACAATTTGAAAGCTACTGGGCAATGGACATTGGACATCACTACATTGTGTCGGTGATGGACGATAGATTAATCTGTGGGCTATTCATTTGTATGCGCTGTCATATACTTTAAATTGAGTTGAGGACTCAAACGATGTCCATCCCATGTCACCCTGTACCGCCTGATTTTGGGTGTTCTCGTGTGCTCCCAAGGCAAGTCTACCTATGCCACATTGTTTAATTTCCAATCTTGTTTGAACTCCTGATTTCATGCACAAGGCTGCATTGCTAAACCTCAAACCTGGGACCATGACACCTTTTCAAATCCCTCTCACAACGTCATATCTGTTGTATTTTCACAGTGCCCTATCTTTTATTACAGCTGCATTCCTGGTGTCCTTAGTCATTACGTATCTTTCGTCGTCCTTTAGATACTCAGCCTCGTTATTTATCCATACGCCCAAATATTTGTATTTATCCACTATTTCCAGCGTGACTTCCTGTATCTTATGCTGACTGCCTTTGTTATCATTTAAAGTCATGATTGCCAATTTTTCTCTTCTGAATTTCAAATTTAACAAATCTCCATCATTAACACACATATCTATCAATCCCTTCAAATCTTGCTTGTTGTAGGCTATTAATACTATATCATCTGCATACATCAATGCTGGTAATGACTGTTCAATGTGTTTTCCTTGCTTGGCAAAAGAGAGGCTGAAGCCCAGTCGACTCTTCCTAATTTGGCTTCTAGTCCCTGTAGATACAGCATAAATAACAAAGGTGACGAGGTACACTCCTGTCGAAGCCCGCGATGTACCTCTATAGGTTCAGATCTTTGTTCTTCCCATTTTATAACTTCCTAATTTGGCTTCTAGTCCCTGTAGATACAGCATAAATAACAAAGGTGACGAGGTACACTCCTGTCGAAGCCCGCGATGTACCTCTATAGGTTCAGATCTTTGTTCTTCCCATTTTATAACTACCTTGTTACTTAGGTATCCTTTAGAAGATTAGTTATTCCATTTTCCACATCTAGTGTGTCCAGCATTCGCTAAAAGTCTTCTTCACACTATTGTAAGCTCCCTTGATATCTAGAAATTCCAGCCACAGGGGCCTGTGTTCTTTTTCCGCTATTTCAATACGCTGCATTAATGTACAGATTGTCCTTCAACCTCCTTCATTTACAGAACCCATTTTGTAGTTTTCCCAGCACCCCCGCCCTCTCAACCCATGTTTGTAGTATTTCGGTTACTATCTGCATCATCAGCCTGCAAACTACTGCTGTCACTGTTATAGGACGGTAGTAGTTTATATCGGCTTTGCCCCCGTTCCTTAGTAGATCATGCTCACCCTGCTTAGTTTCCATCGATTGGGAGCTTCGCCGTCCATTATTACTTTGCTTGCTGCCTCTCTTGATGTTTGCTTAGAGTTTGGCCCTAGTTTCCTTATTAGCATCATTGGGATGCCGTCAGGGCATGTTGATGTGCTATTAGGAACCCTTTTCTCTGCCCTTTCCCACTCTCGCTGTCCCAGTGGAGCCACTGAACTAATTGGTCCATTCTCATCTGGTACGGTGCATGCAGCGCTTTCGTGGTGTTTAAATTTTTCTGTCATTGTTTTTATATATTCCATTGCCTCATCCCCTTCTAGTTTCACTCCTTGAACTGTAGTTATAAACCTCTGTTTCATGCTTGCTTTATTACTCAGAGAATTAGGATCGTTCCAAAACTATGTAGCTGCCTTTCTATTCTTTTTGTTAACTTCTGCTGTTCATTGGGCCCCCTTTCTTCTAATATTTCCACTGATCAGATTGCACGCTTCCCTTCTGCAGCTCAAAAAGTATCCCATTTTCTTTTGACATCATCTTCTGGTTCACCCCTCTGTTTAGCATACCTGTGTTCCCTGGAGGCTTCGTGACGACTTACTAAGGCCCCCTTAACTACCTCATCCCACCATCTCTTGAGTTTGTGTCTGCTTTTCCCAGTTGATTTGACTCATACTTTAGCGAGCTCCAACTCAAACAATGGAGTTATATTTGTGCACGTTCACTCTGTTTTAGTATCCTCGGTGATTATTTTCTCAATCTCTTTAGCTGCTATTTCTATTTACCTTTCTGAATAAATATTACCGTGTGGTTGCTCGTAATGCCGCCTTCCTAATTTTGTTCCAAAACTCAGCTTGATAAGTTTGTGATCACTACCTAAGCGTCTGGAATCATATTTATTCATGTTCATTATCTTTAGCCGATCATACATTCTATGGGACATTATTGTGTAATCTATCGTCGACTGCAGCCTTATCACCTCCCATGTCATTTGCCTTTCCCATTTTTCGGTGCTGTTGCAAATGATTAAATCATGCCTTACACACATATCCATTAGCATTCTGCCTGTTGGGTCACTATATCCATCCATATCTTGTATGTGCTCATTCATATCTCCGAATATAATTACCTTGCACTCTTCTCGTAGTTCGCCAGCGTCATTTTCTATGCACTGCACGATTTGTTGCTTTCCCTCTCTGGCTTTTGCCCCTGTCCACAAGCATACAAAACCCAAGAGCATCATTTGCCTCGCCACTTTCCCATTTAGCCGTAAATGTTCCTTGCACTCCTGCTTCACTCTTTGCTTGTCTCTACTTTTATGAATGAATGCCCCAATACCACTCCACTTCTGCTGCCTTCTGTTCTATTACAATATTCCCATGCGTAGTCTGGATTGTTAGGTGATTGTTCCATGTCCTTTAGATGTTTTTCTACAAACCCATATACCATAAGCCTCTTCTACTTTAGCTATTATTCTATCTCTTCCCACTTCAGCCTATTCCTGCCATCCTGCATGTTTTATACCCTACGTCTGAATTGGCTCGGCCCTCTTTTATACCTGGATTTTTTCCCCTGACTCTACGTGTCTTACATATTGGTGCCGCTGTGTTATCGTAGCTGTCTATACCACCTGTCAAAGAGTCTCCCTGGTTGTTTTCTTCGTTAGTAGCTGTCCTGGATCCTGAAGGGCCTACATGCCCCTCAAAAAAGCTACTGCGTGTCCTGCAAGTCGCCAACTCACCTCATGACCTAGCCTCCCATCGAAGTGAATTCTGTCTCGTTGAAAACCACCCTACCTATGCACCTCTTTGTTTATTTCCACTACCTCAAAGCCTTTCTCTCGATTGATCCGCCATATCTCTTGGTTTGCGTTAATAACCGCTCTTTGAAGGTTGTTATCACGCACTAATACCTCCGGTATCGTGCATATCACTACCTGTACCTGAGGAGAAATGACACGCATGTCATCGACTCCTTTCGCCAGTGTGCTGCTAGTCCTGCTGTATCTTCATTTAAGACATCGTTTAAACCGCCTGCAATTATCACGAGGTTTCATCCATCAGCTGTAGTTTTGAGTTTCGCGCTCGCTTGCCTCATGACTGCTTCCAGCTTGCATCCTAGGAATGTCCATACTGCAACCCTCTTGTCACCTCTTACTCTCTCTCTTATTGCTTCTGTGCATCGATTTAAATACGAGTCCTCAGCGATTATCACGTGCTGTGACTTTTCAGCTGAAGCGTCCTGCTCCTGGGGGCGATTTGCACCTGTGACACCGGCTGCTTTGTCCCCTCCCAGTCCCACTACTACTTCGCTAAAGCTGGGTCTTGCGACCATTAAACCGGTTGAACCAGTTTTTTTTTTTTTTTTTTTCAAGTACCGCCGTCTAGTGGACACATACCAGTAACGCCATCTAGTGGACATTCCAAGAACTAAACTCCCCTGTGGCACATACCCGAGAGATGTGGTTACTACAGAGGACGATAGGGTGACGCCTTAAGGAGCTTCTACCCTAAAAAGTGCATGGACATATGCCAGGTTTCTTTAGGTTGGTTTCAAATGAACAAAATGCCGCAACAACTTTGGGGTTTCAACATGTGTGTAAGTGCATTGAAGACAAAGACAGATGAATTTAAGAAATGATTAAGCTGTGAGCCTAAAATATGCACATTTATTGGAAATAAGCAACTGCTGGTTTTACACTACCCAAGGTGAAGCTCAAGCAAGTCATACAATATTTAGTGCTACTAAATGTTAGCATCTGAAAATGCAAGTGCTCAAATTACTCTGTGAATTTATCTGCATAAGTTATAGCATTGAAATAAAAGTTGCCTTTGGGATTCGCCTCTCACGTGTAGAGACGGGACTGCCAGATTTGGTGTTGGGTGTGGCACTGCGGAGCGCATCTTCATCACCAGCCATGGCCACTTTCCTTGCGACATGTGCTGCACCACCTCTGCTTTATTCCCTACCGGTGAGCACTGCTTGACGCTTTTTTTTTTCTTGGCAAGCATTTGCATGGTGACACTGTTTTTGTTATCCTAAGAGTAGTTTGGAGTAGATTTACATGCATAATAGACACATGATGGGAAATAAGAAGTTCCGACCAATTGTTACAATAAAAAAAACTATGGACCACCTCTCTGAACGAAACCCTAATGGGATGCGAAGCAGCAGCGGTGTGCACAGCATCGACCTGGTTGGAATGGGCATGACACGGGTGCTGGAAGAGCAGTTTGAAGCGAAAATCGGTGTGAAGTTTACTCAGGTAAATGTTTGTTTAAAATGCAAAAGACATGAGAGGCAGGCCACGTTAAAGACGCTTAATTGCGCTCAGCTTTTTTGGCTCGCATCTCATCGGTGTTTACCGTGCACCATCTGTATTTTCGAGCATGATCAGTGTTCTTGACTCGCACCTCGTCGGTGTCGCTGGTCTTCCACGGCCAATGCTTGTGTTCGGCTTTCCTGGCTCGGGCCTCATTGATGTTGACGTCGTCATTCGCGAACGCGATCGGCTTCGCTAACCCTCACAACGCCAGCTACAGCCGCATAAGTGTGCGCACACTAGCGGGAAGCATGCTGCGACGGCGGCCCACTCGTCGGCTCGATTGCATGGCAAGCAGTGGGACGCTGTCCACATTGTCGGCGCCACGAGATTCTCAAGGGGCTCTTAGCATGCCCAACCGCCTGCTCCTGGCGTCTTCACGCCGACAGATGGAGAGAAGGGCTACAGGTGAGATGATGCCCACGTGAGGAGTGGGCTCGAGCGTTGCAAGCGGTGGAGAGGATGAAGCAAGAGAAAGCTGACACGCGGCTAGCATACGGCAGGCAAGCGAGAGAGACGTCACCGCGCACTGCGAGGAGGGCGTGAGCTACTTGCCACCGCTCTAATGCCTGCGAGAAGGGGAGCAATGTGAACGGAGGGACAGCGTTACACAGGCTAGTCAAAGAGCTGCTTCGCATCTGAAAGACGAAGGCTGCCTAAGCCTTTGAAGTGCCATCAAATGTCACGATTTATCTCGGAAGCGCTTGCAGCGGATAGAGTTAAGAGAAAGACGGGAGTCTGAGGTTACACTCCAAACACATTTCAATATTACCCATAATGGTAAAACATGAACAAACTCTCGAACATCCCCCCAAAAGGAAACATGTACAGAATAATTGCCTATACAACGAAACCGTAACTAATTTCAATTCAAGTCAAATTCAATCCTTAGCCCTATTTGTCTTTAGCCAAGATGACGTCTCGGTGGCTACTCTCGTGCGCTTCTACAATAGTTGAACATTCTTACTGTCAGATGACCCTCGGAACTACGACGAATTGGTACTCTCACCGAAGTCGTCCTGGAAGACATCGCTCAACTAGCCGCTGGTGTTCTTCTCCGATATCTCGGCCTTATTCGTCATCTTCGGCCCGCTTGCTCATCTTCGGCCTGCTTATTCAAACCTAACTCATCAATGGCCTCATAGATGATGCACTGTGATGGGCTGGTGTGGGCCGCATCCATTCTGGCTCGTAGTGGAAGAGCTGTAGTCCCCCCAAGATCTGCTGTGACAGGTTGGGGCAAGACCAGGTAGCCTCAGTTGGAACCTCCAAGGTCAAAAGCCACTTCCCGGTTCGCTTGACCCGGCATCCGCCAGAACCACGCGGCTCTACAGCTTCCGTCGCTGTAGCAACGCTGGCCTTCCTTATCTTCGAAGTTCGAAGTTCCAGCTCAGGGCAAGCTCATCCTCTGTGTTTTTTCATCACAGCTTGGGTCGCATGTCAGGAGCCTTTCTCTTACCAACTCCATTCATGGATGTGGTGCATATGCGCACCATCGGGGTCTCGCGCAGCAACGCCACATTCCAGCGCCCGGCACACGCGTCGCGTCCTCTTATTCACAACATTGGCCCCCCTTTCAAGAGTATTTTTCTCAAAACTGCTCTTGTCCTTCCTTCGTATGGTTTTGGCCTTCTGTTCTGTCGGTGTCATCAGCTATGGTCAAATGTGCTCGGGCTGGCATGTCACCTTTCATCGCGGCACATTTTTGCTGATATTCACTTGGCACAACACTATATCATCACACACTTTCACCAACATGCATCAAACACTACACTCGTTCGTTCAAATGTCCACAGGTTCCTCATCTATCACTATACGGCTACACTCACAAGAATAACTACACACCATACTTTACACTCATAACTAAAAAAAATCTGTACAATCTTATATCTAAGGAATCCCACTCCGTATAATATTATAGATCAGTTTACCCAAAACATTTTTCATTGCATAGAACTTTATTCCTTTGGAGGATCAGGCCCTAGTTTGGTACAGCATGCTTCAACCTGTGTTCCTTTACATTCTGAGTCTTTTTCAATTTCTTCCTGCGCCGAACGACTGTCTCGACCAGTCGCTCCAGTTTATGTTTACTCGATGCCTCTTCAAACCACTTTTCCCAGGCTGCGTCTTATCTTTCACCACCCTCTCTGCTTATAAATACGTACGACCTACTTTAGTCGTTTTCACAACATTCTCTCCTTTTGGTCTTGCACATCTACTACTCACAACTTTGCCAATCTTTCTTGCGTCCTGAGGATTGCCTCGACTTCTCAGTACTTTTCGAGCTGTCTGCGTCTCTTTTGCTTTTATGCGTTTACCGCAATGCATCTCAGACACTATATTTATTCTCCTATCCCCTGGTGTTTTATCTCGCGACTGTTGAACGCTCCTTGTATCTATCCCCCTGTATCTAAACCTGCATATAAACCACGCACGAGGCAGGATAACAACAACAACGGGTTTATTAACCCAAGATGCAGCACAGTGCGACACTCACGGGCTTGCAGGCCGTATAGGGAACTCCGCAAGACCGAGCAAATACGCTTGCCTAGGGCGCGACGACTCCTGCACAAGGGCCGAAGCCGAACGCACGAACGAGAAGCCGCCTGCTTAGCAGCGCATCAACCCCTCGTGAAGGCCTGAGAGCATCTGCTGTGACGAGCGAATCGTCGGGCGCATTATAGCTCGTAGACGAGGAGGATGTCACGCGCGCCCCAAAAGGAAATGGTACTGCATTGTGACGTAGGCCCGCGCAGCGCGCCAGCGTGGCATGCCCGTACACTCCAGTGCGGGAAGGAGCCGACGGTTGACTGGCCCAGACCAAGAGGCACCCTGGCAGCCATCTTGGCGGATGCCGATGCTTATGCGCGCCTGATCTACGCTGTCGGCGCGCGCGGCAGCTGGGGAACGAGGCACTAGGTAGGAGAGCGCTCTCAATTCCCACATCTCTCCCTCCTAAGACCGAGGCCGCCCTAAAGACGCCGTAATAACAGCATCCACCGACACAGAAAAAACTGAGGTCCAGCTCTGTGTCGTCCACGAGATCGACGGTGTCCCGATGTCTTCGTTTGGCGGCGTCTCAGCAGGAACCTGGGGCCACGGGAGGGTGGCAGGCGCCGCAGCAGCGATGGCCAACTTGAATGAAGAGTCCGTGACGAGCACCGCCACAACCGCCTGAACAGAGTTGGTCGACAGGGCAAGTTGAAGGCCCGGGCCAGACGGCACCTCCGGAGCGGACAGGACCACAGGGGCACCGCCAGACTTCGCTCCGTAAACCCGCGAACGGAGGTCGGTAGCCTCGTGCACCAGCAGGACACCACAAGCGTCGCAGTAGGAGGCCTCAGGAACAGGCGGCATGAAGGCACCACCGGAAGCGTCTAGAAGGTCCGAAAGAGTGCGTCCACGAAAAGGACGCGGGACGGACTCAGGATCTACCCCCACCCAGACTTTGCGTTGCTTGGACCGGCGACGAGTCGACATGAAGGCGACCGGGGACTCGGTGCCTTGTTGGAACGTCCACGTAGCGACTTCACGACGAGGCCGTGTCTTGTTGGCCGGGTCCGGGGAAGCATTCGACGGAGGCGGCATGGACGTGGCCGGTGCCTGCGGAACGATCGAGCGCGTGGCTGGTTTCCCGGGCTTTTTCTTGAAGGAGCAGGCCATCGAGGAGGACATCACGAATGCTGAGGTGTCGGTGAAAAGCAGAAACGCAACTGAAGGTGCGGCCCCGGAGGCATGACAGGCTGGCCCAATAAAGAGAGCCTACTCCGTCGGATTGAAGGTTACATGAGCCAATAGGGCGCACGCTTCCCTTTTGCCGCCGACTACGCGGAAGATGCCCAGTGAGAGAGTGAGCCACCGGGGAAAGGGCTTTTCTCTCTCCAGCAGCCGGGAGCGCTGGGAACTGGGTGGATTTTTCGCGCGCAGTGCGTGTAATGGTGTTCCCAGGGAGAAAGCTCGCCAGGTAGCCGTTACTGTTGCGGCTGGATGGGCTCTCGCACAGCAGCTATAAATCTCCGCTTCCTTACATGGAGGGGATAACGTCCCGCTACATGCTGGAGGCGAAAATCAGCCTAAGTGCGTTTTCGCAGGTTGTACCAGTGGCGTGGTTTGGAACCAGCTTTATCCCGGTTTCCCTGCGGTTAGGTGACCGCCTCCCCCTCCCCGAAGTCGTTGCTGCGGGCAACGAAAGTTTTTAGGTCGGAGACGTTAACTGGACCGCCGACTGGTCTCCCTTGGGAGTCAACCAGCTTGTATACCAGGGGCGACACTTTGGTGTGCACTCGGTATGGGCCCAACCACTTGGGCGAAAGGGAGGCCAAGATGCCTTTGGCGGCGTCACTCAAGACGTGATTGCGCCTGAGGACGAGATCACCGACATCGTAACGGACATCCCGATGCAACCGGTCGTATTGAGCCTTCTGACCAGCTCGCGCTTTTGCCAGGTTGGAACGCGCCAGGTCGAAGGCCGCGTCTCTCCGCGAGCGCAGTTCCACCGCGTAGCCGACAGCAATACCAGCTGTCTGTTCGCGTCCGGCGGCTTGACCGCCACACTCCGCTTGGGAGCTCAGCTCTTTGAGCTCGTCAACGATGTGTTGACAAAACGAATCGTCCTGCTGTGCTTTGAGCAGCTCCTCTCTGCTAAAGAC